AAAATAAAATGAAATGGAGACTTGCAGTGAACCCACACTTGCCTAGTGCTTAGCTTCAAATGGGCCTCCTCTCCTTCTGGTGAGGCCATCTTGAAGCCTGACTGGGCCATGCCTTATTCCATGAAACCTATGGGCCCCAGAACCTTCTCTTTTGCAGGAAGGGCGTTAGGGCAAAGCTGGGGCCTTGTGAGCAGGGACCCGAGGGCACAGTGCGAAGCTCGCCGCCCCACCCCTGCCAGGTGCCATTCCTGCTCCTGCCAGGGAAGCTACCGGCATGGGGGCTGGGCTCCATCCCAGCTCGAAAAGAAAAAAGTGACTAGCGGGTGCAGAAATTTGAAAATAGTCAAGAGAAGGAAGATTCAGCTCACCGCTCCTTAGGACAGGTCCAAAGCCACGCCCGGCCCTCGCTTGGGAACACAAGGAGCCCCCGACCAGGTCCCTTGCTGATGGCAGCCCTATCGCCCACAGTGGTGACCATCATCAAGGGGAAGGTGGAGGAGGTGGAGCTGCCTGTGGAGAAGGTGGACATCATCATCAGCGAGTGGATGGGCTACTGCCTCTTCTACGAGTCCATGCTCAACACCGTGCTCTACGCCCGTGACAAGTGGCTGGTGAGGCCGGGTGGGTGGTGTCCGGGAGAGCAGGAAGCCATGCTCGGAGCTCCCCAGAGGGCACTTGGTGGTGAGGGTCGGGCTGACTGCATGGGTGTGACGCACCCGAGTGCTGGGGAGACGCACCGGGGCGGGGGCTGAGGCTGCAGGGATCTCAGAAGCGGCCGTTGTGGAGGGTGCCTTGCTGTGTGTGGAGAAGGCGGCCGGGTCAGGGATCCGAGCCGCAGGAGAGCAGGGTGGGGCAGGACAGGGCCAGGCGCACCAGTGGGCTTCTGAGGACCCCTCTGCCTCTGGAGAGCCTGCGGCCTGGGTGCTCTCGCGCCCTCTGGTGGCCCCTTGGGGAATGCGCTTGTGGATGTGGGCTGAATGGGCACCAAGTGAGGGCAGCGCAGAAGCCAGATCACTGAGGTTGGGGCAGTGACACCGCAGCCCTGCCCTTCATGCCCTCACCGACTCTGCAGGCACCTGACGGCCTCATCTTCCCGGACCGGGCCACGCTGTACGTGACAGCCATTGAGGACCGGCAGTACAAAGACTACAAGATCCACTGTGAGCGGGGCTGAGAGCTGGGGGCGGCCTGGGGCTCGGGGCCCAGCCGCTGCTGCTCACCCTGCACGCCTCCTCCACAGGGTGGGAGAACGTGTACGGCTTCGACATGTCCTGCATCAAGGATGTGGCCATCAAGGAGCCCCTGGTGGACGTGGTGGACCCGAAGCAGCTGGTCACCAATGCCTGCCTCATAAAGGTCCTGGGGCTGGGCCGCCACGTGGCCGGTCGGGGGGAACATCTGGGCCTGCGAGCCTGACCTGTGCGCCAGGGTGGCCTGAGGCCGGAGCTGCCACTTGCGCTGTTAAAATTGGAGTGCTGCTGTGAGCCAGCGTGGTGCGGGGGTTCTGGCCGTGGTGAGCAGAGCGGGGGACACGAGGGGTCAGATGGTGGCTGCTGTGAGCTGCCCGAGATGGCGTGGGCGAGGGGCAGGGACCTCTGTCAGGTGGGGCCTGGTGTGGGAGAGAAGGGACAAGGAGACCCCGGCAGCCGGGTTTCGTGCTTAGTCTAGCAGGACGGGCAGGATGAGCTGCACCCCAAAGGCGACTAGGGCAGAGCAGAGGCAGTGGCCTGGGCTGGCATGGGCTCATGGCCTGCCCTGCCCTGCCCCACAGGAGGTGGACATCTACACCGTCAAGGTGGAAGACCTGACCTTCACCTCCCCGTTCTGCCTGCAAGTGAAGCGGAACGACTACGTGCACGCGCTCGTGGCCTACTTCAACATCGAGTTCACGCGCTGCCACAAGCGCACCGGCTTCTCCACCAGTGAGCGGCGGGCCGGGCGGGCGGG